TATATATATAAAGATATAAACAACGAGTATCGCGCGAGATTATTATTATCTCGAATTGATTAGCGGTTCTCGTGTAAAAATAGCACTTGCAAGGAAAAAGGCTCACTGCATTGATGCCTTAATCGTTAAAGATAGTATTGTAAATCAGCTACGCTTTTAAATACTTTTAAACTGAGCATGAGTTTGGGTACGTCGCAGCGTAACGATATGATGCGGCTATGCTTATGACGTCGTCGTCGATGGCAGTGACGACGATGAATACGATGCACTTTGCTATGCGAGATGTATTGATCCTAAATATCCTGATGCCCGACTTGTAAATGGGGTGATTGAGATGGGGTGGGAGAGACATTGAGAAATCAAGAAAACGCTTTTATAAAAGCCGGCGGGCCCGCGCGAGCGAATGTTACCTGACTCATGACGAAAGCCGGATAACGTCCAGTGACAACCACATGTCCCCTAGGTACATCGGAGATAATCATAAATTGGCGCTTTTGCTGGATTACGACGGTACGTTGGCGCCCATCGCCACGCATCCCGATCTGGCGATCTTACCGCTCGAAACGAAGAATGTCTTGCAAAGGTTGTCGAATATGTCAGATGTTTACATCGCAATTATATCAGGCAGAAACGTGATCAATGTAAAATCGATGGTCGGAATAGAGGGTATCACGTATGCCGGCAATCATGGGCTGGAGATCCTACATCCGGACGGCAGCAAGTTCGTCCATCCAATGCCTGCCGAATTAGAGGACAAGGTGGCCAGTTTGATGCAAACGCTTCAAGAACAGGTACTATCAACCAGATTACTATCGATCCTTGTAATATAAATATAGATATGTGTGTGAACGTTTTATCGCTTGAAACATTTCTCATTGATAGAAGGTGATGGATGGATACGCATGACTATGAAATGACTATGAAACTGTTAACGCGCGTGATGTTATCCATTTAATAAATATTAAATGAATATTAAATATTTAATAATTATGTATTAAGAGATCGTAATCATAAACACATATTTATCCCGATAAAATCAACACATTTACATGTCTTGCTTTTCTGATAGCTCTGCAGAGACGGTGCTTGGGTCGAAAATAAAGGTGCGCTTCTCACGTTCCATTATCGTGAAACTCCGATGGAGAGTCGTCCCAGGATGGTCGATCAGGCTAAACGACTTATCGAAGGTGCTGGATTCAAGGCCTGTACAGCTCATTGCGCCATCGAGGCGAAACCACCGGTCGAATGGAATAAAGGACGTGCTTCTATTTACATCTTGCGCACGGCATTTGGTCTAGATTGGAGCGAGCGTATTAGAATTATATATGCTGGCGATGATGTTACGGACGAGGATGCGATGAAGGTACAAAATTGATCATCTCTGCTGCTCTTGTCCGAATGAAAATAGCCAGCTTATCAAGAACGACATTTTGCATTAGTATACCATCAATATAGGAATTTAAACCTGTTTGTTTTTATCTAGGCATTGAAAGGTATGGCGGCGACTTTCCGCGTGGCATCATCGCATATCATTCGCACGTCTGCGGAGAGACGTTTGCCCAGTACGGATTCGGTTCTGACGATGTTGAAGTGGGTCGAGAGGCATCTCAGCAGGCGCAAACCTCGCAACAGCATCGACATCCCGGGCATCCCATCACGATTTCGACGCGGCAGTGGTGGTATTACGATGGAAATGTCTTACACCCCGCCAAAAACACCTCTTGAATCATAGGTGATGCTCAAATGTTTCCTTTATCAGGTATATGTGGCGTGATATATATCTATCATAGGATTATAATGTACTCGTAGCGTAAAGTCAGCTAACATAGATGAAGGAGTAAGAGATAATAAAATCGCAGCTGAAAAGAAATTAACGAGGCCTACACCTAAATTTCATGTTGAGTATAGGTATTAAAAATCAAAAAGTCCAAAGAAACGAAATGATTCTTCTTAATTGAGAAGTGTAGTAACAATGTTATATTACCAATAGAGTCTCTAATGCGGAGTTTAAGAAATATGAAGAATCAAATCATTACGTTGACTCTCTAGCTTTGTCGATGTATTTTCTGATCGGTTAGACCCTAGCCCGAGAAAAATATTGAACTCGTGTACATTACGATGTTTTCCATGCGACTAAAACTTCTATTTTGGCTCTATAACAGAAAGATGTATATATTATATATCTATATTTTCGATGTAATCTTACCGAATTTATAATTGTATCACATGGAACACGATACGTATGTTTCTCCACAAAGATATAGCATTTAAATACTTAGTTTTTAAGTTCGCGTCGCTCAGAAAAAGATAATTCGGCAGATAACACTGAATCCCGCATACTATCTTTATTAGTTGCGTTTTATCTTGTTAATGATTTCTATCGGTAGCATAGCAATGACGAAAGAATACTTCTTAAGATAATACTTATGAAGTATGTTTTTCTTTGCAAATGTTTTACTTAATTTATTTGTTTTTTTTTCCTCTTTCTCTTCCTTATTGATTTAATAACGTTCCGATTACACACATATTACAAATATTAATCATTAAATTTTTTTGGCTAAACATAACAGTAAGGATTTTTTATTGGATTCTATAATTTCTCTGAGAAAAATAAACGCATCGCAGGATAAGTGCAAGTTATTTCTGATATTAAAACTATACTCTCTGTTAATCTATAGTGAACGCGTAAATTGTGGAAACGTATGATTTCGTGCGAGAGAGCAAGAAAAAAGCAAAATCTAAAAAAAAAGTAAAAAATAGATTTAAATTTAAATTTTACACTTTTTGTAAGTAGAATAAGATATACGATGTATGTAAAAAAAAGAGGTAAGAGAAGATTGCTGGTATTTATACTGATATAATTGCTTTTGTGCGAGTGATAATAAATAGGAAACGGCTACGTTAAGATCTATGCCTTAAAAAATATGTGTCGCATTTCTCCGTGCTGCCGGATAATACTGACTGATACAAACTGATACTGACTGGTACAAACTGGCAAAATCGTGTATCCGTCTCTTGTCACACGAGCTTGTTTTGAACTGAGAAACTTTACGAAAGTAACTCGTTAACATCATTAATTGCACAAAACACAGTCCAATAAGTCACAATGGGGAGACAGGCGTCTTTGAAGAACGAAATTTAGCAATTTTAACAAATTATAATTAAGCAATGATAGATTTGTTATGGGGTAAAATTGTATATGAAATTGTAAACCAATAATATATTATTTATTAAAAATTACCTCGAACACCTTATGAAAGGGGATTGCTTTGGATTGACGACATTTTATTCTTACCATATAGCTTCATTTTAAAAACGGGCTTTTTCGTTTCCATAAAGTGTCACGTTTTATTCTACAATTGCTTTCTTTTATGTAGCTCCCCTGTATTTACTTCTTTAATCCGCTTAGCGTCCGGAACGTTCTTTTCATCTGTCTTTTCACCTGCAACTCAGAATCATTTATAATCTAAATTGAAATTAGTCTGCTCATTAATAAGTTAATTATTGCTGGTTGTACCATAGAGCAAAAGAGTTTAGCAGTTAAAAGATCAAATTGTGTAATATCTAATGAGAGCGATTAGCAATTAAGTATATAGATACATATATCAACTATATCGGTATCTCAAAGGCTTCAGTGCGTTGCACGAGCGCAGGTCAGATTCTATAATCTCGTACTTTCGCCACTGTATTTATTAGTCAATTAAAATAATCGTCGGTCATTGGATAATGAACGAGACTGACGATTTGGTAGACGAAAAAGAAGACGAAATAAAAAACGGCAATCAATATAAGGAAAATGTAAGCAAAATATAAATTATCGTTACATCGAGGATATACCTATCGGTATGCACAATGTCATCTCTGTTTAAAGAATGTGTAGAAAAAAAAGTATATATGTGTACATAACGAGATATATATGTATAAATATACGCGTACGCGCGTACAGAGTCCTACCACGTGCCCTTAAAATAAAAATCTCTATCCTTTCCCCGACTCCTTAAAAAAAAAAGGAAAAAGATAGAAAAATATTCTACATTTTGTACTTACTACTTGATTGGTTTTTACCTCGTTATACCATGTTACCACTGTAAATGTGTATGAAACATAAAACGAATCGCGCGAGATAGTGCGCGGGTAAACGATTAAAACTGTTTTGCTCCCGTCATTGTCGAGCCGACACAAAATACACAGTGCAGAAATAAACGATGTTTATAAATCATTCTCGTATTCTTTCTCTTTTTCCACGCTATGCTACCTAGATCCGCTTTGGACGACCTGCGATTGGTGCGTTAGAGTTCGAAATACAATTTTATTTGCAATTTGATATGTTGTGTAACATGAAAAATATTTGAAGAATTATAAAATACACACACAACGCACAAATATATGAAATATATATCATCTAAAACACGTATGAATACTATAAAATTATATACAAATGGTATTTAATAAAAATTGTATTCAATTTTTATCTAACGCGAATTATGTACCGGAAATCATTTAAAGTAGATTTATAGATCATTTAAAGTGGATTTTACAAAGAAGAAGAGATTAAAATTTCAAAGGCAGATCTTATTCTGTAATTTTTAACGATAGTAACAATATCGTTACATTATTGTTTTACGATGTATAAAACCTGCACAACAATGTAACGATATTGTTATTGTTATTAAGAGTTAGAATAGGAACTTTACTTTTATTTGCAAAATGTATATAAATAAATCAAATTATATTATTATAGTTCCGAAAAAAGCAAACTTCAAATTATTATGTTGTATTAAAAAAAATATAATTAATAAACTAACAAATAAAGAAACGTTTTCAACACATATGGCTTATTTAGATAGGAAAGTATAAGGTGTCCAATTTTCTAGGTATTTTGTTTGAATTTATCCAAAATTTAAATTTGATCTATTTACATTTTCAGGCTATCTATGACGATAATCAAATATTATTGAATCTGCGAATTAATTAAATGTAAATAAATGTGCTACTTTACAGAGATCGATTAAACTTCTCCCGGAAATCAACTATTTCTCGAGAGAAGCTTAACCGATTGTTCCGCAACGGTTGTAAAACGAGCTACGAATTTTACAATTTTTTTTCTCTCGCAGGTGCTCCTTTCCAATTTCCGTGGAACAGCCAGAGTATTATTCGCGATTGCATTGCGATTGTTTGCATGCGATTTGATCGAGAGAAAAACGCTCATTCCCCTCCCGCCTTCCAGGAATTTCATTTCTGCTACGGCAATAAATAATGATAGAACTGCCGAGCCGCGATATCGCCGTTTGTGTATCGCCGTTATTTTTCACGGCGTAACCTCTGATGTTGAGACGTATCTCAAGCCAGCGATTAAAAGTGTTTTTTTTACAAACCGATGTCACCGATGCGTGCCCGAAAGCGGAGCGGAGCGGGGCGGGGCGGAGCGGAGCGGTGACGCAACGAACCGTTACGCGGCCGCGGATAATAATAATCGACGCGGGTAGGGGAGAGACGATCGCGGGAAAACACACGCGGATTTTTTTATTATATTTTGTTATTTTTTTTTTTATTTATTGTTTTCTAATCGATTCAAGCGAGGCTCCCGCGAACGAAGTGTTAATATCCATTTATACTTTCGATTCTCTATCGAATAATATTGAGACACATATTTTTTTAGTGAAACGTTACGAATGAAGTGTGTAACGTGAATTTGTCGTCTTTTTGATAAAAGCAAATAATCGTTTTAAAGTGATTAAAAGTCCGCTTTAAATAATCTATAGAACTAACGTTTTAGATTTTAAGAGAAAATTTTACATGTAACTTTATAAATATCGCATATGCATTTTAATATATATTTATAATGAATATATTCTATTTCTTTCTTTTTTTTATATTCTATATTACACAAATAAAAGCATGAATAAAATTCTTTTCTGAACTTGATACGAATTATAGATTGTATAGAACATCATAATTATAATTCTATTTTGATTTATGTATGCATTTTATATATTTTATGTAGTTATGTATTCTGATTCTTATTTTTCTTTCCATACAAAACTTTTACTGTAAATTTTGATACGAACCATAAATTGTTTAAAGTGGGCTCTATAAATTAATTCATATGTTGTATATATACATATTTCAACATATATTTTAATGTACATTTTACATTATATATTTTGATTCTCTTTAAATATTTTTTATATCAAAATAAATTTAAAAAATTAAAAGTGGGCTATTAGGAATCATGTTGTAATAGTTGCGCTAAATTAATAATATTTTCATTTGTTTTAATGTAAGGGATCTTATTTCATTTTAATTATTTTTCATATTACATGACACAAAGTATAAATAGAATTCTATCTAATTCCTGAATTACGGATTTAAGGTGGTCTGTGACGAATGTGATTCTCTTTTCCGCATGTCACGACTATGCGAATTAAGACGTGGACGGAACAACTTTGGCGAAGGATTCCGTTGGATGCAGACTAATCGAGGAAGAAGAGGGCCCTCGATTTCCACAGCCCTTTGAAACCGAAATGAGCCCCCCTTTCAACGACTGTGTCGATCTTGAGTTGGAAACATCCAAATATTTTCATCAGATGGGTCCGTTTTGTGGAGGGTGGACCACGCCATTTTTGCGGAGGTTTCTTTTCACGAGAAATCGATCTCGAACTGATCGTGGAGAGACCGCCTTTCACGCCGAAGATCCTCTCCGCTGCGCGAGCGAGATTCTGAAGAAGAATCCCAGACGATCTCCACAGTCGCTGCATAAAGAGGCGGATTACACGGTGTCCATTTCAAGACGTACAAGGCACTGGTGTTTGCGGTAAGTCTTCCTCCTCTCTTTCCCTTTCTGTTGCTCTCCCTCGTCCGCTCTCTCTCCCTCCTTCGTTGCAGCCACCGCGTCCTGCGGGCGTATACCGAGCCCAATAGGGGCATTATCTTCGCTGTTTTGCCGATTCAATTGTGTGTGCGGTGAAAGGCGGCGTTTAACAAGAGTTTAATAAAAGGCAAACAGCGCAGGATCGTCGGTCGTCCTCTCTCGCGAGCCATCCTCGTTTCTTCCGCTCCCGCGCGCGCGAAATCGTTCTGCTCTCTCTCTCTTTTTCTCTCTCTCTCTCTCTCTCTCTCTCTCTCTCTTTCTCTCTCTTTCTCTCTCTCTCTTTCTCTCTCTCCCTCCTCTGTTTTCTCTCCCTCCCTTTGCCCATCATACGTTCTTCCTCGAAGGGATTACCCGGGAAAACCTGGGCCTGTCGGTCCGAAGAAAAGAGGGAACACACGCGAAAGGAAAGAGATTCGAGAAAGGATCGCAGCTGCCATACACCGATTGGGGCTCGACCAAAAAAGTAGCGATTCCTCTCACTCTCCCCATCGTATTTCTGTTTTCGTTGATCCGCGCGGGCGGATAGACGGGGAATACAGTGGTATGTATTCCCGTGGATAGAGGAAGCCACACGGGGCGAGCAAACGTGCTCCGTCGATCGCAATAGAAAGGCATTTTGGAAAACTCGTCAATCGGACAACTCACTTTCAAAGCGTCTTAAGTTCGTATCTGTAGAAATATAAATAAATTCCCGAAAAAGCCTCCTACGAGCTTATTATTAGTTCTGCCTTGTAGTTTCTCAAGACATAAGAAATATCCCGAATTTGTAAAAATACATATTTGTAAAAAATATTTCTCGAAAATTGTATTTAGGATTGTCGAAATTAAATAGAAATATTCACTGTGGAGATATATATTTATCAACAATTAAAAAACTATTTACATTCATTCTGAATGAATGGACATCATATCGAATATATCGAATAATGAATATATTCGATGTATTCGACATATTCGATATAATGCCAATTCATTGAGGATAAATATAAATAGTTTTTGCATTGAATATATTCAAAATGAATATTTTCGATATCGACAACCCTAATTGGATTCAATCGCAAAATTTAAGTCCTTCAATTTTTTGCTATCAGGATTCTAATCATATCAAGTGCTTCCAATTTTTTTATAATTCTTTTTCTTTTTAAAAAGCTTGAGATTAGAGTTGACTGTTGATTATAATAGTAAGATTAAAGATTAATCCTTTTTTTGTAATAAAAATAAATGTCATTATAAGTATTGTAAATGTGGTGTAAATAATTTTTAGAAGATCAAATAACATGAAAAAATTGAGATTATAATAAATGTGAATTTTCAGGACATAATTACTTATTTGTGAATAAACATTGCACTTTTCGCAATATCACCGCGCATCTTCAAAGTAGATTCGATATCCTTGAAAGATTTTTCTCTTATTTAAAATTAAAAAAATTGATTCGTGTTTCTTTTTGCCGACAAAATATACGAAACTCAGCTGTTCAATTATCGTTCAAAGATGTTCGAAGCAAACCTTCATTTTCGAAAAAACGATCAATCGATCGTTAAATCGCAAAATCTGCCCCTTCTTTTCTTCTATTTTTTTCTCATTCTCTCTCTCTCTCTCTCTCTCTCTCTCTCTCTCCTTTTTTCTTTTGCGCCGCGCTCAGCAGAAACGGGCGGACTAAGTAAGTCAGTAACCCAGTGGAAACTCGCCCGGGGCGATCACCCTTTGCCCCGTTCCCTCTGCCGATCGATCAGTTCTGATGTAATTATCCAAACGTTGAATTTTTTATCGCGGTGAAACAATAACGCATTTTCAGAGCAAACAGCATCGCTCACCGGAGGCCGCGGAGGCAGCTCGCGCCGCTCTGGGGTACCCACGTCGTCCACTTGTGCCCTCGGTGTTTACGCAACGTGTAATAGAATAATCTGCGCGTTACGGGGGGAGGAAGGGGGGTGGGGAGAGGTGGTGAGGTGCGGATGGGCGATGCACCGCAGGGCAGAAGTACTGTGGTACATCTTTGTTTACCGCGTACCATCGGTTTTCGGTCCGGAATATCTCTCCTCGCGCCAATTTACGGAAGAATGGTAATCGTGCGATAAAACACGTTTTTTTAATCTTCTTTTTTCGTTCAGTTTCGAGTACTGTTGTCTTCTGCATCTTGCCGCAATCACCGTCATCAATCCTTGCTGCAAATGTTGCATTAAAAAGAAATTTGCAGCAGAAAAAGTGAGTAATGCTTTAAGTCAATAACCTATTGATTGTTTATTTGCAATCTCTAGGTTTATTTAAAATATTTTATAAAAATAGAGACTTGTTTAACAATTTCTAAATTTATTTGAAGATGAAATATAATGCTTGTGGACAAT